CTCCTCCTCGCCCTCGTCCTCCTCCTCCTCCTCCTCCTCCTCCTCCCCTTCCTCGTCGCCCTCCTCCTCCTCCTCCTCCTCCTCCTCGCCCTTGTCGCCCTCGCCTTTCTCGTTGCCCTCCTCCTCCGGGTCGTCCTCCTCCCCTTCCTCGTCGCCCTCGTCGTCCACGTCCTCCTCCTCTCCCACCCAGGTAACGAATCTATCGAGCTTTTTTTTTTTCCCAACCTTTTCTAAATTAAATTTCGTGTTTCATCCTTGCGCAGAGGTTGTGCTAATCTTTTCTGTATTGTTCCCAAAGTCACGAAACGGAGGAGGATTGGGAACGATACAGAGAAGATTAGCACGACCTCTGTGTCCATCTCGTCCTCCTCCTCTCTCACCGAGGTATCGAAATTTCAAAAATAATTCAATCTATTGAGCGTTTTTTATTTTATTTTAATTCGGACCTTTTCTCGAATCATGTGTCATCCTTGCGTCAGGGTCATGGTAATCTCTGTGTCGTTCCCATTGCAACGGATGTCCCGAAGGAGCCTGTTTTTTTTTTCGACCTTTTCTTGATTTTTGTTTGTCATCCTTGCGCAGGGTTCATGCTGATCTATACGGGCCTGTAGGCTTTGATGCGCATGGGCCGCTAGGGCTTGATGTACAGGACACTTTAGGGGTTCATGTACCGTCTTTTCCTCCCTCCACCTCTTCTCCTCCTCCATCTCTACTCTGCTTCGTCGCCCTCCAGGTCCTACTATAACCCCTCATCTTTTCTCGATTAAATTTTGTGTGTGTCATCCTTGCGCAGAGGTTGTGGTAATCTTCTCTGTATCATTCCCAAAGTCACGAAACGGAGGAGGATTGGGAGCGATACAGAGAAGATTAGCACGATCTCTGCGTCCACCTCATCCTCCTCTCTCACCTAGGTATCGAAAATTCGAAAATAATCCAATCTATTGATCTTTTTTTTTTCCTTTTTTTTTGGACCTTTTCTCGAATCGTGTGTCATCCTTGCGTCAGGGTCATGGTAATCATCTCTGTGTCATTCCCATTGCAACGGATGTCCCGAAGGAGCCTGTTTTTTTTGTTCGACCTTTTCTCGATTTTTGTTTGTCATCCTTGCGCAGGGGTCATGCTGATCTATAGGGGCCTGTAGGGCTTGATGCGCAGTGGTCGTTAGGGCTTGATGTACAGGGCACTTTAGGGGTTCATGTACCGTCTTTTCATCCCTCCACCTCTTCTCCTCTCCATATCTACTCTCCTTCGTCGTCCTCCAGGTCCTTCTATAACCCCCCATGTCCTCGCCATATCCCCTCCACTGGAAAACGTTTGGAAATACCGCTCGTTTTTTTTTCGTTGTTTCCTGTTCCTGTACTCGGTGCTCGCCATATCCCAGTCCCCACCTTCATCTCTGCTCCATGCCTCCACCTTCGTCCTCCACCTGTCCATCTTTCCTCCATCTCTCCTCCATCTGTCATCCATCTCCATGCCTCCACGTTTGTCCACCTGTCCATCTTTCCTGCATCTCTCCTCCATCTGTCCTTCATATACCCTCCACCTTCACCTCTCCTCCATGCCTCCACCTTTATCCTCCACCTGTCCATCTTTCCTCCATCTTTCCTCCATCTCTCCTCCATCTCTCCTCCATCTCTCCTCCACCTTCATTTCTCCTCCATGCCTCCTCCTTCATCGCTCCTCCATCCCTCCACCAGGTGCAACATCATCTCTCCTCCATACCTCCACCTTTCTGCTCCATGTCCATCTCTCATCCACCTCCGTATCTCGCCCTATCCCCTCCATCTCTCTTCCATATCCCCATCTCCCTCTCATATCCCCTCCACCTTCATTTCTCCTCCATTCACCACCTTTCTCTTCCATCTCTCGATCTCTCCTCCATATCTCCTGCATCTGCCATGCATCTCTCCTCCACTTGATTTCAATCATCCAGGCCAGCCGTGTTTGGCCAGCGACTGCTGGCAATTGTTTTTTTTTTTTTTTTTAGTTCGTCCTGTTTGGCCAGCCGTGTTGAAAGGCGTGCAGTGGTTGTGGAGGAGTCTACGGCAGGAGGGGGGAGGACACAGAGTCTGGTGTGGGTGAATTGAGGATGTAATGGGGACTATGGCTGATTTGGTGGTCCTGCCCATTTTTTATGTTGTCCAGGTCGCAATGACGAGCAGCAAGTTCGCCGCCGACATGGTCAAGGAGAGGTTTGATCAAGGAGCAGCATGTTCGGACCCCTCAGACCCCCTATAAAAAATAAAAAATAAAAAAGTCCCGCACAGCTCCACACGGTGCGGTACACGTAGCGCACGTCCCCGCACATTTCTGCACCCGCACAGCCACCCCCCGCACGGATCTCCACACGGATCTGGTCTGTGCAGGTGCGGAATGTGCGGAGATCAAGCAAATCCCGCACGCCGTACTCCGCACTGCACCGCACCGCACCGCACGAATGTGTGGCTCATGTGGTTGCAAGTAGGATCTGAATATACTGACGAAGACCAGGTACATTCAAAGAAGCCTTAGCGAGAGCGGTACACGTAGCGCATGTCCCCGCACATTTCCGCACCCGCACAGCCACCCCCCGCAGGGATCTCCGCACAGATCTGGTCTGTGCGGGTGCGGAATGTGCGGAGATCGAGCACATCCCGCGCACCGTACTCCGCACCGCACCGCATGAATGTGCGGCTCATGCGGTTGCAAGTATGATCTGAATATACTGATGAAGACCAGATTCATTCAAAGAAGCCTTAGCGAGCGCGAGAGCATGTCCTTAGAACCTATTCAAAGAAGCCCTAGCGTACCATGGATTCATCCAGAATACCATGAGCATTAAGCAAAGAAAAGAGAAGGCAACCGATGGGCCTAGCTCAGATGGCACACCCATAACTGTTGAAACACAGACCCAAGTCCGAATCCAGATGCACTCAGACGAACAGAACCAATTTCAACCAAATAATTATGAATCTCTGCTTAATGTTGTGTAGCAGCAGTGCGGCCTTTCAGGGAAAGCTCCAACCATCACCAGTCTTCGAAACAGAATAAGCGAGTACACAATGGTAATGCTTGGATCCACCTGATGTTGAAGCAGTGGTGCAGCAGCAGCAGCAGCAGCTAAGTGAATCTGCACATCTAGCTCCCCAACAGCTGAGGTTGCAAGCCTTTCAGTGAAAGCTCAGCACATCACTACGGCCTTCACCCAAAAAGGACACCTGGTCATTATCACGGTATCTATACTGCAAGTTCTGCCAGATGCAGCTATAATGATTGGGTATTCTATTTGGGTGAAGAGTCTGAAGATGGTATTCTTGGAAACAGGATGAGTACAATGGTAGTGCTTAATGCCATGGCAGCAGTGCAGCGTGTCAGTGCATGAGCTGTCTGTGGCACTGCGCTCACACACACGGTGAAGGCGTTAGGATCACCTGAATCGCAAGCATGTTCTCGGAGTCCAACCTTAACACATGTGCCAGTCCCATAAAGCAACAGAAGGGGGTACCGCCAGTACAAGGCCCCAGCTTTGCTGAAAAAGAAACTCGTAGCCTATGTAAATTTTGCAAACATGGAAAATGCTGAGGTTGGGAATACTACCTGCATACAGTGCATAGTGCAATTTTCAGGAATGGCGGGGAGAGTATCGAGACGTAACTAGTGGAACCAGATCAGTAGATAGGAAAGACAAG